ATCGCTTATATTTCTAATATTCTTCTTCTTTGCTAATTTCATAAGTATATCAGAAGCATTAAATATCTTACAGCATATAGTACTGAAGGCATTACGATGACATGAATGTTCAATTTTCTTCATGTTTAGTTCAATATTGGTTTTAAATTCAATAAAATTATTAATTTTGTTTTCTATGCAGAATTCCCATCCTCGACATGAGATGCGTTCTTCAGCTGGTGTGAGAACGTAAGAGGAGATATTATGTATGCGTTTTGTTTTAAGAGATTGGTAATCCTGACCCGCTGGTTCTTTATTAAGTATTCGTAGTTTTTTGCCATGTGTTGTTACTGTTCTTTCTTTTGTTTTCTTAGATATTTAAAATATAAATATTTCTGTAGTTGATCAATTTCATGACTGTTCATAATTAATTTAAGACTATCAACTAGTGCTTTTAATTCTTTCTCATGTTTGAGGTAATCTTTAAAACGACTTTTATATTCTTGTTGAAGGTAAAATTGCTGCAACGATTTATATTCGTTGGATGCTTTTAACCTCTTGTTCCAGAGTGAGATCTTTACGAACGATGGTGTCAGTTTGTAAATTATACATAATCTAATGAATTCTAGATCGCATTTACGTTTTTGTAGTTTAATAGATAGTTTTTCGGCTTTTCTGATTGTGAGATGAGTAATATCGCCATTCTTAGAGCGCGTAGTGGATATAAATTGTGGTAGAAGGGCAGTAAAATGTAGATAAGAAAATAATGAGTATAAGACTGCTGCGAAGAACGTTACTCGATTTTTACATGCTCTTCTACCATAATTTATAAATATTTGCATTTGGGCTATATCAGCGGAAAAAGAACATACACCTTTCCTTTGAGTCTAATTCTTTACTAGGGGGTAAGTTTTCTGCATAAATTCTTTCGGCATGAATTTTCGTAAAACTATTTTCTCTTTTACTTAGCTATTAATTAAAATTAGTTAATTAATTAGTTAAACAGTAATTAATGAAGATCTCACTAACCATACCAGAAAAAGGGTGAATGTGTTTATATCTAGCAATCATCATTGCGACTTTGTCCGTGCTACAACTCACGAAAACAATTTCACTGAAATCTGCGATTGAACGCATTTTTGGAGAACAGAAACGAGTTGATTTTTAATGTATTTTTATTATTGAATATTTTCATTCAAAGTTACTATTATTAATATAAAAATGAATGTCTATGTATATGTATGCTGTAGGGCAGATTGAAATTCAGCTCAGATTAAAATAACTTCGATTTCAACAAAGAAAATTTTAAACTGAACTAGTTCAAATCAAAATTATTTTAACCTGAACTGGATTATAATCTATCCTACGACATATATATATATATATATGTTGAATTGAAGGATACATTTTTGATTTATTCAATTCAAACTCAAAGTTAATATAAGTTACGAAAGTTTTCATTTAAAATAAATTAAAATATTTCTATACTACAATATTTTTAAAGTCAACTTTTTGGGGTTGATAATTTTATTTTAAAATAAAAGAATCAATCCTAGTATTTACACAATATTGATTATGAATTTTTCATTTGATGAAATGCTGACGAAAATTTTTAAATAGAAACTAACTATTAATATTTCAGTTATCAGAAGGAAAATGGAGAGCACTCGACTTTTACGTAAGCCTTTTCCAGTTAAAAATAATACATTAAAATCGGTATTATAGTGTCCACAAGAAAAATCCCGTTGCCGATAAAAGAAAGAATGCATTTAAATCATTCTATAGGTAAAACCATGCGTTTGGCTGCGTTAGAGAGGGAGACAACGGTGGGTTAACGTGCCAAAATAGCGTTTGTTATAAAATTTTGCATAGAAAAGCTGTATCATACAACTTTGTTTTCGTGGGAGGACTGGTTAAATGACTTTGAAATCATCCATCTGTTCAAAATGATCTCGAACAGTTATAGACAAGTTGATGTCGTTGTTCACCTTTAATTGAAACTCATGATATGGTCAGTATTTAGAAATACATTATGCATGATAGATATCCAAACTCATATTTAAAAAACACTAGTGACACGTTAGTGTGGTTGTCTTTTAGAGTTTTTTTCCAGGAAGATAATATTATAGGTTTGATATAATTTAGTTCTCCTCATGTTCTGTAACTCTTAAAAGTACATGATGTTGTATCACTAATGTGGGTGATAAATGTTGAGCTGACTAACAGATATATTACTTTTTGTTTTTCTCCTTGATGATTATGTTGAACGTTCGTATGATTGATAGATGGATAAATAGTATTCACGTTATTCAGGATAGTATTCGTAGAATTCCAATGTTGAAAAACACATTGGTTGATGGTCTTGACTCTAATTAGTATGAATTAACAAATTTACTATCACATTCAGTTAGTCATTCCAAGTTCTGCCTATTAAGTTTCACTATCTACGCTAGTTTCCCAGTTGAATCGACTATTCATGCATGATTCTTAGCGTTCTCTTGTCATCTCTCCTTATCATATGCTGTAGTGTTTTCGTTATTGTGATATGAAAGAAGATAATCAAATGTAGTACAGTTACATTAATAATCCGTCTAACACAAATCATCACAATTATATTCTATAGAACATTCGAAGCATAAGCAGGTTAAAAGTGTCGTGATGTGTGCAATAAAATCGTTGATAAAGGCGAATATTTTTATCTACCTTTTGGATAAATCTATGTATTACCCGATAGAAAAAAGAGCTAGTCATAAAGTCGCACGTTAACGATGCGCTGTCTAGTTGTTTCATTTGGACTCCACTGGATTTCTGCTGTGCTTTTAATGTCAATAAATTTGAAACACAATTTCTAGAGGAAGCCATTGTGATTGCTTAATCATCTCGCCTTTCTACGCAGTTTTTTTCTGAGAATTGTGCGATGTTGATAAGTTTTTATTTTTTTTGCTGTCAATACAAAGAAATATTTACGCCGTAAAAATCACATGTAAGACGAGCCTAGAGATGTCAGGAAAGCATTAAAAATGAAAATAATGCATTGGTGTATTATGGTAAAGAAAATACTTAAGGCGGATTTATTCACTAATTTCTCATTCCTAACACCGATACTACTCTTAATTCTAAAGATTTATATTAATCAATTTTCCTTGAGAAATAAATCAATGCATTATTTTCACTTTTAATGCTAACCCGTCACCTCTAGACGAGCCCCTATATGCTACACAAAGAAGAAGCAGAACTGTGAAGGGTTATTTTTCAACATAATATTTACTGTGTCAAATGGAATTTTTGAAAAACAACACATACTGACTAACAGAAAGCATTTCTGCCCAGAAAATAAAAAAGAATGTCTTTCTTCGAATCTGAAAGAAAAATAAATTACACAGCAACAATAAACAGGCCTCTTCAATACTACTCAAAAGGAAGTAAGTAATGTAACGCGGGATGCCTCACCATTACAACAAATGATTTTCTCAGTACTGTTGTAGTATCCCGTTGAATATTAATATTTACTGAGTAAGTTTCGTCTAAAAAGAGGACTAGCGAGACATCTTCTTAAATAGTATGCACAAATGTGTACCATCAAAATAATAAAAACGTCATGGCGTAAAAGATAGTGGAAAATTGTATTTTCAACGAAATTAAGGTTTAATTCTTTGAGATTTTCATAACAAGGCCCTTTTGTAATGTAGTTTCTCATATTCTTGAAATCATAATTGATAAAAAAAATCGATCCGTGAGATAAATACTAATTTCAAGAGGAAAATATTTTTCAAGTTAAAATTGAATAACAATTCCTTCCGGTTTATCTAGAATGATCAGTCATATATATATGTCCTACTCTTGTATGATTACTATTTAGAATAGATATGCATTTCAAACAGTCTCTCCCATGTTACACAAAATGTTTATGCGATATCAAGCACCACTCTATTCTTTAAATTTTTTTCACGAACATAGTTCATAGAGAAAGTTCTTCAAACACTCTAATTTCCCTCTAGTGGCATTTTACATAATAAAACAAACTTTCCCTTTGAAAAACGATTGACTTTGAAACATTGTACAACTCGAGACATAGAAACACAACTGCAAATTAGTATTTCGATATACTTACAGGAAGCGATTTTATTTCAACACCTCGCATCGATAACCGATTCTAGATAAGTCACCTTTCCTATCACAACTAACATTTGGACTATATTTTCAGTTTCACCCTCAGAGCTATTGATTCAACAGACTCAACACCAGAAAATTCTGTCAGATCAGCGTTAAAGTCATGTATTTCAAACAGATTCTCATTCTTTCCAATATTGATATTAAGCCATAATCGCGTAGTTACATCTACACTTTCAAATCATTTTTCCTATAAAAATGCACATTATTCTAATTCATTTTCATTTTTCTCGTAAATGACTAGTATATAGTGAAAACTTCACTGGTACACTTCACATATTTCTCAAAGAAAGCATACATCCAATACATTCTAGATGAATGCGTATGTAAAAATTCTTTTTTCTCTAGCAGTAACCATTTTTCTCTTTAGCGACTATAGAGTATAGTAAAGTGCCAAACATTCGTGCAGTGTCGATGAAAAGAAGTTTTAGTCTGAAAACCGTTTACTACTCAAATGCTCCTTTTTTGGTATCCATCAATCCTTCTTCTAATTCTCATAGAAGCAAGTATGCTGTACAAAACACATTAAATTTTCTTAATAACTCTTCAAGCTTTGCAAGCATCTTCTGCGATTCTCCATAGACTTCTTAGCACACCACCTGCACTTTTTTTTATTGTATCTATAACACTCATGTGTAAAATAAAATGTATCTTTGCGGGCAAAAACCTTGATTGCACAGGTAACCAGCTTTTATACTAAGTTATGATCAGATATAAATTGTTTATCATTTTGTTTGTATGATTCTTACATCTTTTATGATTATTCCGGTTTATTATAGTCAATGTCCACATCAAATATTGATATTAAAATATGCACTGCTATTACGTTTTAGACAAAACAAAAATCAAATATGTTTCGCCGATTTCTTGCAGAATCATTAACTCAGCGTCCTCGTAAGATATCATTGAAATACTATGGTATCAGCAAATTGATAACAGTATATCATTTTAGAAAACAATGATGACCCTAATGAGCCGTGTTGTCTAATCCGCTGGACAGACAGCAAAAAATTTGTTATCGTATCTCAACGAAAAATTCGAGCTCCATCGAAGACAATTATACTCTATGAAACATACACCATCAATGATGATGGTGGTGGAGAAGAGCGTACGGGAAGAATCATTTTTAAAGGTATATTGACTTGTTTTTGAAATTTTGAGCGTCTTACATGAAACTGTAATTAGGGACTAGGAAAGAGTGTGAAACGCTTCATTACAACGTGGATACGACACCTACCAAAAGTAAACCAGTAACGAGTAAGAACATGCTATAATCATTATATTGTTTCAAGTCTTTTTTCAAACATTAACTCTTTATAGATTCTGAGAAAACGAAGAAGTCTAATGATCAACAAGTCAATACTGCCTCATCATCTGCTTCAGATATTCTTTCGGATGTGAAAGATGATTCAGGTAACATGTAATAGAAACTGTAGGATTTCGGTACTTTTAGAAGTTAAAATCTGATCATTTAAAAAGAAGCTCTTGAATAATTGTAATTTTTATGTATTGAACAGTTATTAAGTTTTTTAGACGATGACAAAAATGCAAGTGAACGTGAAGCAATTGGTAATGCTGTCCTTATGAGGATGCTACAGCTAGTGCTTCAAGGTTCTGCTGATGGTGAGGAAAATGAACCAAAGCATAAGGTGCCATGTTCCGCATGTGATACTAATCCAATAAGCAGTGATCGCTATAAGTGTTTAAATTGTAAAGACTTGAACTTATGTGGGTCCTGCTTTGAACGTCGAATAGAATCCAAAGAACACAAGAGTGGTCATGCATTCGCTCATTTTAAATCTCCCGGTGAACTTTTTGGTGAAAAGGTTAGCGACGAAGATGTAACATTTAATAAGCTTAAAAAAATGCATGCTGGTGAAGTGCATGAATCGATTACCTGTGACGGCTGTAAAGCTGAATCCATCAAAGGATTGCGATTTAAATGTGATACCTGTCCGAATTATGATTTATGTCCACAATGCGTAGAAAATCATGTTATTACAAAAACACACAAATCTTCGCATCCACTTATTCTTATACCGCGTCGAGCTATTCAACAAATTCCAGCTGAAGATATTCAACTTGGAGACGAACTTGGCAGCGGTGCATTCGGTATATAGTATTTATAGAAATAGAAACTTTTATAATATTTCATGTTAAATTTTGGTTGTCTAGGTTCTGTTTTCAAAGCTAAATGGATATCGAAAAATCGTCCTGTTGCATGCAAAGTTATTACTGTGCCGAGAGCGAGTGGCGCCGAAGTACTCGAGAAAAGTTTCTTAAAAGAATTGGCCGCTTATGCAGAACTGTCTGGTGCTTACATTCTTAAGACATATGGATTCGCAGCATACAAACAGGGTCAAAATAAACAATATATACTTGTTATGGAATACATGGCTCAGGGAAGTCTTTCCAATGTCATAAAAGAAAAGGGAAAGAAAATATCTCTAAGACGTAAATTAGATATGGCCAGAAATATTGCTAGTGGAATGCGCAAGATTCATGAACACTCGATGATTCATCGAGATATTAGACCAGATAATATTCTTGTCAATGAAAATTATACTGCCAAAATAGGTGACATGGGAATAGCCAGAGTCGTCGATCCTCTGAATCAACATACACAAATCGGTTGTGGATCGTATATGCCACCCGAATTCTATGAAGGTAGTTACGATCAGAAACTCGATATTTTTACATTTGGCTTGACATTAAATGAACTTTTCACTTCAACCCGACATACATTTCAACAATGTCGTAGCGATAAAATTATATTTCAAGAAAAAAGTCCTATATTCGACGATTTGATTGCTCGATGTACAGCCTACAATCCGAAAAGACGCCCAGCGGCCATAGAAATTGAAAAAACTCTGGATATATATAGTGCAGGTTTTAATGAAATTGTAATGAAGAAACATCCTGGTTACATGAAATTGTCTACAGAAGACAAAGACAAAATCTTTGTTGCATTCTATGAAAAATTTCATGATCCTGCAACGGAATTTATTCACAAGCAGTTTCCGCCAGAGTTTCTCGATGGACCAAATAATCTTACATGCGTAAAAGTCGACAAAAATGCCAGTAATGAAATACGTATTCAATGCCCGATGCAATAAATCTTGGCCGCTTTTTTGCAAGTCACCAATACAGACTTTCTTATCGTAGACATTTATGAGAAAATATGTATGCGTATTCTGTGTTTCTTTTAATCTAATCTATGCAATCAAATCTAGAGAATTATTTTCCATGAACTACTAACACAAATCTCGTAGCATTTATCTATTGGACTATCGTTGAATAAGCTCTATAGTTTTATAAAAACCACCAACATAATAGAAACAGATATTGCTAAATATATATTCTATGATGCCTCGAAAATTTATCATATTTTTTTAACATCGTAGACAATGTATATAACTGATTATCTTCGTGTGTAAAATTGATTTAATTGATTCAAACACTTCTAGTAATTTAAGAAGTGTAAATAAGTTAATCATAAAACCTTTATTGATTTCGAATTCTATTGCAACAGTCGTGTTTTTTTCATTTCAATTGCCCAAACAGACAAACTTTTTGGAAAACGCGTTTACACACTCAATTGGGAGCCGCGATTATGAATCATTAACGCTCAGTAACGAAACGCAAGAAACGCGGTTTTTACGCAGAATTCTCACTTTCAGAGCGTGAAAACTCCAATTCTGAGCGTTTAAATGCACAGTTATTCAATAAATTAAAAACTAATTCGCTTAAACGTTCAGAATTGGAGTTTTCACGCTCTGAAAGTGAGAATTCTGCATAAAAAACGCATTTCTTGCGTTCCGTTACTGAGCGTTAATGACTCACAATCGCGGTTCCGGATTGAGTGTGTAAACGCGTTTTCCTAAAAGTTTGTCTGATTGGGTGAGCATTGACTTTGATCATTCTACATATTTATGCCTCTGCAACAGATGATGGTGAGACATAATGGAAAAGAAAGACCCTGAAAGCATACCATTAGAATATTTTTGAGTCCATGATGAGCATGTCATCAAATGACAACAATAATGCCCAGATCGTGGAGGTACGGCGGGAAACGACCGGACAGCACGGTAAAGCGCTGGAAAGTGGAAACAGTATTCCGGTCGGAAATAGTCGGATTATTTTCCTGTGGATTCCGGTCAGTTTCCTGTAATTTCTCGCTGGAAGTTGACAGGAAAAAGTCCGGCAACTTCCGATCGGAATACTGCTTCCACTTTCCAGCGCTTTCCCGTGCTTTCCGATCAGACACGGTGACTTTTCCGCATCTTTCCGGCCGATTCCTACAGTGTCCGTCCCCCGGAATCATTGACCTGGGTGATGATAAATTTAACGGTCGAAGTTTGTGACACTGATGTTAGCGATAGAGAAAGCTTACTTTTTTTTGTACATTTGTTTTACATAGATTATTAAAAGCTGTGAATTCAAACTCCATCGAAACGAAAGTATATGTCATGTCACAAGATAGGTGGCATATTGATATCCAATGGATGTCAACAGGCCTTTTGTGGTAAACATTAAGTCGAACATCGGTAACATTTTGCACTTCAACTAGAATAAATATCATGCAAGAACCTGATTCTATTCGACAAGATATTAGCATACGAGTAGATACTCACATATCATACATACAGATTGACAAAGGGGAGAAGGATTCGATTGGAAAAATTCAAATAGAAGTAGAAAAGACTCGAGTTGATCTCGATCAAAACATTGAGCACTCGAATGAACGACCTTCGGTAGTGTGCCAAGATATTGCTATTAAACGTCGTTAGGTGTGAAAAAAAGAAAATTTTTCTGAAACCGATTTAAATGGGTAGATGAAAAATTTAATGAATTTAAACTGCAAGTAAAATCACAGTAAACTATTTATATTCAGAAACACAATAGTTGGCTTGTTGCATTCGTTCGAACTAGGCGATATAATAGTAGTGACGTGAATACACTCGTATTACGATATAGCAAGTCGCTGTTGTCAAAAGCACTATTAACATCTAGTCTGGAAGAAATATTTGTTGAATGTAGTGAACTCGCAGCAATAGATGCTGGGAGCTTACGTATTAAACATGTTGATAACGATCTTAAATTTATTTATTATCGTGGTCAACACCTTTATTCCAAGGATCGGCACGTAATGAAATTAAACAATCCGCAGGCTTTTGTAATTTTTTCTATTGGTATTTACATTTTTGATGTTAGCTTACGCTAAATAATATTTTATCTAGCGATCTTTGCCGGTTGGTTAAGCGATGACGAAGTTTGACTACATGGGGAAAATAACAGTAATTTAAAAGAGAACATCTATAAACCTGGTGAAATAAAGATGAATGGTATCCTTAAACCATAATATTAAATTGTGATCAGAGTCAAATTGAATTTTTCCAAGAACGAACAAATAAGATACAAGTTATTAATGTTGATCTTATCAAAACTTCACTTCCATGACAAATATTGTTAGCATTACGTCGACACGGCGATAGTGAGAGATTATTGTGAAGTTTCAATACTGTTTTCTTACGAGTTTTACTTAGTATTTTTTGGTTAAGATTCACAAATCTATCTGAATGAGAAACCAATATTGTCAGATTACTTCTAATTCAGCATTTCTTTTCTTGTAGCAAAAGTAGGTGTTCTTGTTGTCAAAAGTCAACATCCACAACTATCGCTGCAGAATCCATTTATTCGTTGATATCGGTCAATATATTAATCTTATTGGTTACTACTTCCAATTTCTCAATCATACAAGCGTACAGCGTAATTGTATTTCAAATGACGTTATAGGAGTAACGACAGTGAAGTTTGTCGTTTGCTGTAAATACACTAGTAAATAGAATCCGAATATGGACTATCGTTATTTGAAAATGCAGTAGAAATTCTTTCTAGCAATAAGCTACAGATGTGCACATTCGCATTATTGTTCTATTTTTTATATTCATTCACACCGTCAAGTCGTTCGTCTATTGAATATGGTTATGATTGGTCAGTTAGTGTTAACCAATGAAATATTTTATTTAGCAGTACTTTTTCATCAATGTTGAGTTCTGAAAATTTGATTTGTATTTGAATATAAACCATTCTATATTGTTTACATAGCATTTATTCATGAATAAATGATAGTTTGTATATTGAAGGTTAATGAAGATGTAAGATCAGTAATATTTTAGTAAAATAAACAAACTTCTGAAATATAAGACAGTAGTTTCGAACAAATCGAAATCGAATCCAAAACAATAATTCGATGATTTTGCTTATATTCTAGATGGAATCATCCGTAAATTCGTCACCTTTATTAAGTCATGCAGTAAAAATACGTGGAAAAAATGTTGAATTGAGAAAAAAAATTATACTCTTACAAACTGATATACAATCAATTGAGAAAGATATTTTATCATTAACAAATACATATGACGATCTTGTTGAACAATGTCAGATTTTACGTGAAAAACAAACCGATAGAAAAAAAGATTTTCTATTAGAAGAATATCAAAAACAGTTTACTGACTATGTTCATGATATTGAAAATTATATTAATAAAAAAGAATGGAACATTGATTCAATGGAAAAAACAAATGTTTTATGTAAGAAACACAAACTTTTTGAAAAAGAATATCAGTCATTTGAATTTTCATTCCGTGTAAACAAATGGTTAAATACTTTACTCAGTGATTGTTGATTGGTCTCGTATATGATCAGAGCATTTTATTTTGATAGCGCTAAATATAAGCAGTTGAAAAATTATGATGTTTTGCATAAACATAATATGGTGAATGTATATCTCATTTCAATTTTTTATTCTAGCACCAAAAACATCGTCATCTATTGAAATTAATAATAAAATTGAAGAATTATCAGTTCCAACATTGCACGATGATATAAATCAACAATTAGCATCAGTAGAAAATTGGCTTATGGAAAGTGCTGTTACTGATGTTGATAAATCATGTCCAATGATAGCAGATCATCAAAATATAAATGATGGAGCCGATGATTTATATCAAGATTTAATATTTCCAACATTAACCGATGATCTTCCTACGCAAACTGAAGAAATTCATTTTGATGAAAATAATCATCAGGAACAATTTATTAAAACAATATCACCAGAAAACTCTCAACAACAGCAACGTCCAGATAAAAATCAACGCCGCTTTGCGTTGATGAGACAATTAGCGGAAAAGTCAAATAAAACAGTAACAAGAAAATTAATATAGTATTATAACATCAAAACTGATATTCATCGTGCAGATATTTCTTTTTTAATATATTCAATATTGATTCAGACGAACATTTTATCATTGTTTTGTTCAAAAAAACTCTTCTATATGGCAACTAATATCCATAGAGGATGTTACGAAATAATCATATTTTCCATCGAGTGCTCAGCTATTTTATTTGTTAAAATATGCTTGTCATCCCTTACCATAGTCTATCTGAGAATTTTCTTGTGTTACCCCATGCTAAAACAAATAATGAACACCAAGTTCAATGGAGAACATATCTCTATTTCGTATGAGACGCTTATCTGTTGTATCTTACTTAGATTATAGGACAGTACTGGCATAGCTTGGAAAAAATATTCATTTCTTGTGATTATAAATTTAATAATCTTTTTGAGAATATTTTCTTTTTTCATAAAGAAGATATTCTTGTCAAGCTGATACTAAATAAGTTGGATATGACTGATGCTATTTTGTTTTGTTTTATTGTATTTTTCAAGGGGGCCATTTTCAATTTTGCTGAGAGAGAAGAGAAAATGAATTTATAATATATTAAAATATATATTTTTTTAATTTTAGATTTAGAAAAAAAAACAATGTATTCAACCGTCGCACGTCGTTTGCAAGTATAAAAATAGTTTAGCCAGTTTTCTCTTTCGCATAAACGAATTTTTCTATTTTGTTTTATCTATCAAAAGATGCTGCCTATGCAAAGTTTAACACGACGAGCATTAATACATATTTCGGCTAAGAATTTTTACCCATTAATACCGATGGTTATTGAGCAGACCGGCCGTGGAGAACGTGCTTATGATATATATTCACGTTTATTGAAAGAGCGTATTATATGTGTTATGGGTCCAATAACTGATGAATTATCAAGTGTGATTATTGCTCAACTACTTTTTCTTCAATCTGAGAGTTCCAAAAAACCAGTTCACATGTATATCAATAGTCCCGGTTTGTTCATCAATGATTGCAATATCTTTTATTCATTAAATTATTTTAGGTGGCGTAGTAACTGCTGGTCTTGGAATTTATGATACAATGCAAGTATGTAGAGAATTTAATTTCTTAAAATTATTAGACTAAATGATTTTCTTATTATTATTATAGTATATTACACCTCCGATTGCAACTTGGTGCGTTGGTCAAGCGTGTTCAATGGTGAGATGAATTAAACAAAATGACAAGAACTCGATAAATCTTTTATTCTACCAGGCATCACTTTTGTTAACATCAGGTACACGTGGTCTACGTCATTCATTACCAAATTCGTATGTACAAGTGTTTTGATATAAAATAGAGAAATTATACTTGCTAACTTTCCTAGGAGAATTATGGTGCATCAACCATCTGGTGGTGTTCAGGTATTTGATGATAGGTCTTCTTTTTTTATTTGCTTAAATTTTTTTTTGATTATTTTATAATAGGGTCAAGCATCAGACATAATGATTCATGCAGAAGAAATTCTAAAATTAAAACGATTGATAAATAATCTTTATGTAAAACATACAGGTCAAACAAGTGAAGAAATAGGTAATTCATTTTATTTTTGATCATTTTCATATGATATCGGCTTTTAAATTATATTATATTATAGAAAAATTACTTGATCGTGATCGATTTTTTGATGCAGAAAGTGCAAAAAGTCTTGGTCTTATTGATAAAGTTCTAGAACATCCGATTCAGGATCTATCAAATTCAGATGAAAAAAAATCATAAAATAATCAATTAAACTTATTTCTTGGTTAGTCTCTTTACTTCTATGTTCAAGTTTTACGTTTATTAGAAATAAAAAAAATTCAAGAGGCATAAATCTTATATAGAAAATAAATAAACATTGGTATTCTTCTTTTTCGTTCGCAGCAAAAATCACGAATCAATTTGTCTGATTTTATACCGTCATCTATTTAGTATGATAAATGTATGCATTCAATTGATTAGCTAATTGTCCAACAGGTGTATTTGGTAAAGCACAAAGACACGGAGTATTTGTGGCAAGTTTAAAGGAAATTATATCACCAGTATAATATAAACGAACTGTTTCATTACAAAAATATGATGGTTTTATTAAAGTATTATCAGGAGCCTCGTGAAAATAATTTGCTACTGGATTTATTGTTGCCAAAAAGTTTAGTGTCCAATTATAAACACGTACATGCTGACTAAATACATAATTTAATTGGTAATCATATTGAATTGTTGATAGCATATTACTAGATGAAAGTACGGAATATGTTACTCTTGTTGAATTTGTTGGTACTGGAATATGATGCAAATGTCAGCGAAAAGAAAAAGATCGGTACCATAGCATAATTCACATGTTGATGTTTGACTTGACCAATATTGTGTATAGATATATGGACATTGACAGTAACCATCAATGCATATTAAACTTGAATAGCATTGTTGAGTATTGTTACATAGTGAACCATTGTTAAGACTTTGACGACAAATTGTGGCATCCCAATAAGAACTAATTTCACATGTGCATCTCGAAAGTGTAGTATTACATGTTAAAAGAGCTGAACTATCGCATTGAAGATTCGCGACACAATATTCACCATTTGTAGACAGATTTTGACAACCAGCACCATTCCATATTTGCGATGCTAGACTTAAACATACGTTAGAAGTAAAAAAAACTCGAGTTGTATATACTGTCTAGTTCAATAATAAACATTGATTTACCTGCATATCAGACCAGAAACACATTGACTTGATAATGTACATGGTTGAGTGTCATTTAATCCTATTCTCGTATTACAATCTGTCTGATTGTAGTATAAACTTGATGGGCAAGCACGAGAATTTGTACTTGTCGAACACGTTAAATATTCCATGCAGATATCAGATTGAGAATCACATGATTGGCCGAATCCAAGACGTTCTTGACAAGTAATACCATTATAATACATTCCTTGTGTACAATCACAAAATGAACAATTCCAATGTATATTAACCAAACAAGCACATCGTTCTGTTGTGGTACTACAGTAGAGACGTAATGAACGATCACATTCAATTATTGGCGAGGTTGCAATTGAATCAGTAGTACAACTATCATTATATCATCGTACATAATTAATTGTTACTGATGGTTTAAGTAAAAAAGCGATCATAAATATTATAAATAAAGTGATTAACATGAAAATATAACTGTAATAGAAAATACGAGAATCTTTTCTTGATGGACAGCAATAGTATCGAACATTTTTCCATGTTATTTTATTTTGACGAAATTATGTTAATTTTGAAAATAATCGTGGGTTTTGTTTGGTTCCTGCACTATCTGTCATTGCATGTTGGTTTGAATTTTTATGATAAAATGCGTTATTATTTTTTTTTCGCTCAAAATTTATACTCTCATATGTGAAACCAAAAAAACTGATATTATTTCAGTTGTCTTTTCTCGTTTCATTGGTTTGAAAAAACAGTTGAATAATTTCCTCGTTGAAACTTTCAAAGTCTAACAAAAAAAACAATTTCAATCGAACTCCTGTGACCTCAGCAGAAAATACAATTCGTTATTCGACTTTCAATTTGAAGAATTTTTTTATATCCTTTGATTTAGCTCTTTATTATTTTGAACAAATAGGATCAGACTTTTAGTGAGCGAAACTCTATAATTATTTTTACTTTCATTAGAAACGTTAAAAGCACACAATAGCCTAAGTAAAAATAAAACTAGTGTTTACAATGAAGATCATCTTATTTTAAATAATTCTAGTCGATACTATATCGATTCAATTTACTAGAACATTATTTTATTTCAAAGACAATATTACTTTAATAAAAATAACAAAATCGTTTTTTACTCTTTATGTGTAACGCATATTGCAATTAAACTTGTTTTTGTACTTTTCGTCGAGCACAGCGACTTCCTACCATGAATCAGAGCAAACTATCTACCAATATAGTTCGTGAATGATTCATCATAGTATATTGAAATAGAATGCGACTTTATTTTCAAAAAAGCAATACAAACAATGCATTGATCGACTTTTGATATTATTGACCTGTAACCGCTGTCTGAGCAAATCAAGTCAAAATGACAAATAGACTATTTTTTACTGAGAAATTCTTTATCATTTCAATTCCAAAATAGACAGAAATGACATTTATGGAAATAAAAAAAAGGGGGAAACTAATTGATATGCACTATTTGCTCACAAAACTTATTCAGTCGCTGTTTGAATATATTCAAGATAAAATTTTGTCCAGTTTCTTCTTCTAATGAGTGAATAGATGTCTCATGAATGTTCTTGCGAATCCACCAGCATTATTAGCAATCACGGGATCTACGCCCAAATGAGGAACTCCAGCAAAATAATGATTCGATCCATAGGCTACTCCATGGGATACTGGCATTTGATGAAATCCACCATTAACATGTTGAAGGCTGTGGTTGCCATTATGATTTACATAAGAATTCATTCGAGCAGCCACATTTTGATAATGTAAGCCCGTGCCAGTGTTCATACCAGTTGGAAAACTCATGTTAGTATATTTATTTGTAACAGAAGAATCTGTATAGACTACGAATGTCGTCGAATAATTCAATGTATGCTATAGGTTGTAATGCAACTTCGCAATTTATATGTATATGAAAAAGGAATTGAGTCAGTATATCAATCAAGCATGACCAAAAAAACGAGGGGAAGACGCGTGACTCCACATGTTAATGTGAGTTGCTAGCGACTAGAGAACATATTTTGCCGTCACTTGGTAATATCCGAACGCATTCATTTTCAATATTTCAGTTTTAATCAAGCAAAACGAAATTAATAATAACAAGAAAAAAATAATCTAAGACAACAACAACAACAAAAACAACAAGCATACTACAATATTCATCCAATAATAAATGAATAAAAATAAAATAATAATATTGACACCCGTTACTATATAGCAAAACTTTTGTCACTAGTAACTAATATTGCTACGTTTTCATGTCTTAAATTAATACGAGACGCTGAAAATCAGTTTATTTTACAGTTTTTGATAATAAAGTTAGTTTCAATTTAGAATCTTGATTTCGATCTGGAAGTTCATTTGAAATTGTTCGTGGAAATCTCGTAGTACAGTTAAATGGTGATCGTCCTTGACAATGAAATAGACAAAGTCTTACATCTCGAATATCATTCTAAATAAACAACCAACAATTAAGAATTATTTATTCGAAAATTAATTTACTCGAAAACGTATATGAGCAAAACCATAAATAATAGGATTGATGGCTGTATTTGATACAGTTAAAAAATGAGATCCTATATAAAGAAGTTGTAGCAATGTTGTATGACTACAAAAATTCTGATAATAGGTTCCTTGATAGCAAAGTAAATTGAGAGATAATTGAAATACATTCATTGGTAGCCAAAGTACAGCATATAAAACAACGACAGCAATTATCATTTTAATACCCTAAAACATTTAAAAAAAGTTAAGTTAGTTATCTCGTGATTACATTGCTACTTGTTTTTGAAACGTGAGTTTTCTAGGAAAATTTTCTACTGCCTCATTATGATTCCTACTGTCTATATATATTAAAATTCCAGCTGCTCTATTCTTTTGACTTGGTGAAAATAAAAACTAATGGATGGTGTACTACATTCAGGACCTTCGTCGGTCTTTGGCACCAATTAACTCAACATAAATATTTGAATCAAATTTTTTTGTTTAGTGGTCGTTGCATCCAACAAATGCGAACATGGTTATCAGTCATTAACGAAAAGATAGTGAAGAATTTCTTATTGTTTTTAGTGATATTCTTTATGAAATTTTTATTTTCTATTGGAAACACATACAACGAATTATTTCAACAATTTATTTCCTGCATATTTATGCTTTAAAATCTTACAAAAATAATGCAAGCTTCTTAACCGATACATTATCGCATAATGAGTTCTCAGTTGAAGAAGAAAAATAAATCTTTTTTTGGGTACTTCAGCAATTGAAAAACTCGTTAGAATCTTTGCATCGCAGTGAAACCAGGTCACTGAAAAATCTGCGAACATACGAATGATGTAACTAGTAAATGTTTATTTCTTGTTCTTATTGAAATTCTTACATTATGAAACAAATCAGCAATTCACTTATAGAAATTCTCTTGATAGAATTTTTTCTATATTAATTGTTTCTGCAAAATTAAAGAAATTCTTGTCTCACATAAAAGAGAGATGAGGACATTGGAGATTTCATTTTTATAATATATGCTTTTAATTATAATAAACCCAGTCATTGCTTTTATGACGTCGACATAATTCGTATTATTCATATAGAATTTTCGAAAACAACATTGTACATCTATGTGGCCTATAGAAATCAATTGTCCTTGTTTATATTTAACCAAACCGCAATTTTAAGTGTAAATCTGCACACTCGAATATAATCAATTTGGAAAGCAAAAGAATACAAACTAAACCAGCAAACACCATGAAACGGCAATCTGTGCGTAGTATTTTTAGTGAACATTGTTAATCGTGTTTTTTTGCTAATGAGAGTGGGAATATAACATTTTGACAGATACAAATCGAAGTGACAAAATGATGAATACAATTTCATTAGACAGTTTTTTCCACGTGTATTAATCGGATTAATTTTTCCAACATAAATCAGTCATGCAACTATTCCGAAGCCTGTCATCTATTTTTATGTAATACTTTTATTCACATTTTTTGTGTTCACGCGATGTCAAATTTGATAGATTTCCAATATTAACTATTACTTTAATAAATGAGGACAAGATATATTTGGAAAAAATCATAATTCTGTCAGAGAGAATGTAAATCCTATTTTAAAATATCTTACTATTCGGCCTATCTAAATATAACAATTATAGAACAGAAAAATATATCATAATCAAATGAACTAAGTCTCAAATCATATGTGATTGAATATTTATAAAAAACAATCATTGGTTTTTCATTGTAAACAAATGAACCACATAGTCAAATTCACGCGAGATAGCTGGGTACTTTACATTCAAGTTATCAAAACAATACCTAAAAATATGAGTTTATCTTTGGGCTATATTACTTATGCTAACCTATTTCTTTTCTTCATCTCCTCATGATGATTTCTTCAGACAATACTGATACAGTAAGGTAGTACTATTTCATTGCAACAGTGGAATATTTGCATACAAAATAATACAGAGCAAATATATGCAGTGAATAATTAAAAGATATTTTCAAAAGAAAAGACTATTATTTATACAACATATACATCTCAAAAGCTTGAATAATACTTCTTTTTTAATTTCCGATCCATTTAAGCTCATTGAACTTAAAATATAATAAAATCTCAAGCTGATTGTCGTTTCAATAGAACTCCTGAAAGATGCAATCTCTTAAAAGTGAATGATAGTGGTACTCACCTAGAATATTTTAAAAATGTAAAATAAAATATAGACTTACTTGTTTTAATTTCTTCTTAAATTGTATACTCTCATGAGTAAATAAATGATCTACTGTTATTGTTGTGCCATTGATTTCACTAGGTTTATCATTAGAACGTTGCCATAGCATAGCTGCTATACGTAGATAAACAAAAGCAAGAATAAATAGAGGAAAAAAATATGTTTGCAAGAAGTTTAATATTGTTCGTCGAACTTCAACTGGTCGCGATTCTTTATTTGGTACACATTGAATTGTGTCAACAATTTTATAGTCTAGATCTTTTAATAAATAATCTGATTTCGATATGTCTGTAACATTGTCAATGGAAAGTATATAATCTTTTAATAATGAACGAGAATTCACCCATAAACGTTTTTGTTGCATTGGCAATGATCTAGCCGGTGACCATAATACAGCTATGATAATACTCAATATCCATATAATTAATAATGCAATTATATTTCTTTTACTAACAGAATAGATTTTAATTGCTAATGGATATTTAATAGCACAATAACGATCAATGGCTATTCCTATTAATGTTAATAGTACACCCGACACAGAAAATGTTTTAAAGACATCAAGTACAATACACAGTTCACGTGCATATAACCAACGTTGAAATATAAGCGAAGTAATTGTAAATGGCATACAGTAAACAGTCATTATGATATTAAATACGGATAGATTAAGCAAAAAAGGTGACAGTTCGGATCGAGAATGATGACCGAAAGTAAATATAATTATTGCAATAAGATTTGTAAAAAACGAAAATATAATCATGATACCGTAGATAAGTAATATAATCACTTCAAATGTATATAAATCTCGTAGTGAAAGAAATGTTATTGGATATTGAAAATAAAGATCAAGTAAAGAGGATACTTCTTGTGAAGCCATAGATTGATTGTATTCTTAGAAAAATAATTTCAATCTAGAAAGCCATACAATCATGAGAGAAAACAAATGACTCGATCGAAGTACGTTCCACGTATTATTTTTCTTTCCCCTTCTGTTCTTCTATTCTTTTGTTCTTCATCGTCTCTTCCTTTTTCTCCCATTTCCTGTCTCCTTTTCTTGTTTCCTTCTTGATATTCTAGGGTTCACGTTACTTTATGAAAGCTAAATTGTGATAATAATCGATGAGAAATCAATGTAACATAAGTTGTGGGTAATTCAAATTACAGCACCTCTTCTCTTTTGCTTAAACATGCATCAGTAGACTCCCCTTTCGCGATGATCGCGAATATCTACTGAGGTTTTTGATTTGACAAAACATTTGTGAGAGAAAATGCAAGATACTAAGAGGGTCTAAAAATCAGAAAAAAAAATTGTTTTTCAACAAACAACGTGTATTTTTCTAATGTTACACTTGTCACTCGACACTAGTACATATCGTCGCACGACACGTCGTCGCAATAAAAATTCGTTGCGATAAGTTAGTCGTATATAAAGAAGAGAGTATATTAATTGAATTTTTCGTAGGCGTCCGCAAAAAATGTTTAAAAACCAAAAAAAATATATATGGATGTCACGAATAAAATACGCATAAACAAAAAAAAATTAATTGAATTAATTGTTTTTGTTCTATATGTTATTCAATTAATCACGTTAATGTACGATCTATGGAATAATAACTAGATCTATATGATGGATAATAGATTCGTTTTGAAGAAAAAATGATCTAGTTCTGTATAAAAGCACTGAAAAAATTACTTAGTTCTGTAAAATTCTTCTGTGACATTGCAAATAGTCTGCTATCAAATGAAAGTCAACTCAAGTCTTTTAAGGAGACGATTTCTGATGAAATTTGGAGCTAAGATAAGCCAAGAAAAATGTTCTCTCTCTTGAGCTGTATAATTCGTTCAGTAATTTCTAAGATAATTTTCTCTAATTCGCAAATTTACTCGACTATTATACGAAGTGGTTTTGGAAACTTTTGAAATGGATTTTCAGGTTTTCGATACTACGAGCATTAAAAATAAATGATCCGAATAAATTCTATAAGTCAATAGTCTTCTTTTGATATCTTTTTTGAGAGGTAACACATTTTTGTTTAAAAAAATTCTTAAGACGAGAAATAATTTTTTACATGTAAAGCTATATTTTAATTACATCTTAATTCAAAAAAATTAAATTTATTATAAAATTAACTTCGTAGAATTTTATTTAGAATTAAACCTTAAGTTTTGGATATTTTTACTCTAAAAAAATGAATTATAAATTAACATTTCTGTCATTTTTTGAGAAAAAGAAGTTGTAGTAATAAACGAGTGTTATTATTGTAAAGGAATACATTTATGAAGGTGATTGATTGAATAACATATTGAACAAAAGCACTTAATTCAATTAATGTACTCTCTCCTTTCGTGTACACGATTTACTGTCCACGGATTTACTGTCCACGGATTTACTGTCCATTGATTGGAAAAATATTATTCCAATTAACGCTATTTTTGTATGAGGATTTACTGTGCATTGATTGGGAAAATATTATTCCAATTAACGCTATTTTTGTATGAGGATTTACTGTTCATTGGTTGGAAAAATATTATTCCAATTAACGCTATTTTTGTATGAGGATTTACTGTCCATTGATTGCTTCAAAGAAGATAAATTAATAAATGAGTAATGGTCTTGACAGTCAATCCCTTTTTTGAACAAAAAATTACATAAATGTTGAAAAACCAAAAAGTCACCAATGAGCAAACTATTGAATAAATTTTCAATTTAAAATGACGGATGCTCATCAAATTGAGGGGTAAGATAGTCATTAATATGACAAAAAATTATAAAAAAATATATAAATTCAAAGAAAATTGTTTTCTTATCATACTCTTGCTAAAAATGTCTGGTATATTTACTGAATCTACCCATGGTAAACGACAATTATGCTGCCTCAATTATCGATATTCCATCATTCTTAAAAGCTGCTGGACTTAGATATTTTCAGCGTCCACCAAAAAGTTGAACGCCCATTCATCTTTTTTGGTTTATTTATTAATCAATTTCTTACTCTCTTTGTTATTTCCTCATACATTTGCTCGAATTCTTTTTTTTCCAAATATACATAGTTGATTGCGATAAATATTTTTCTGTTCATTTCTATTCTTCGAGGCAATCAATGGGCAGTAAATCCGTGGACAGTAAATCCTATAAACCCTCTCCTTTATATACGATTAACGTTCCAGATGCATGAATCCGATACCAAATCCGATCGGATCATATAAAATCCGACGAGCCGACAAAGTTCCATGAGATTCCGGGTTGAAGAACTACTAACGGTTCCCTAGTGTTGGAATCCGGTGAACATCCAACCAAATCCAACAACCGAATTCGATAGGAATTTTAGAAGTCGGATTCCAACGAGGTTCTAAAGAAACCTATCGGGTTTTCACTGGTTCCTGCAAGAATCGATCGGATTCCAACACTAGGGATCCGTGAGTGGGTCCGGAACCCGGATTTGCTTAGAATCCTGCAGGAACCGATCGAGCCCGGTTGGATCCAGGTATCGGATTGTTCGTCCTGGGTTATCACAACGAATTTTTATTGCGACGAATCGTCTTGAGGCGAGCTGTCGTGCGACGATATGTACTAGTGCCGAGTGAAGCGTGTAACATTAGAGAAATACACGTTGTTTGTTGAAAAACAATTTTTTTCCTGATTTTTAGACCCTCTTAGTATTTTGCATTTTCTCTCACGAATGTTTTGTCAAATCAAAAAGCTAAATAGTTATCCGCGATCGGCGCGAAAAGGGGAATCTACAGATGCATGTTTAAGCAAAAGAGGAGAGATACTGTAATTTTGAGTTACCCACACCTTATAATAAGCTTGCAGAAGGATACTGATCTACTTCTGAAGAACTCTTTCTATGAAAACATATATTGAGAAAAATAGAATAGAGGATTGAGTAAAAAAACAATAATATTTATCAATAAAATTATTGTAAAAAAAAACGTGGAAGTCTGTTTTTTGTTAGTGAAGATAGTATTCACATAGACAACAGGATGAATAAAGTAACCTGGATGACAGGAATCAATCTATTACTCAAAAAGCAAAAGCTGGGAGTGTCTTACAAAAGCCATAGGCATAGTGATTATAGATAATGTTCTAGGAGATGGCTAATTTTCTTAAAATATTGTTTTAAATTCTTTTAGTTCTACTCATGCAATTATTAGATTATATCTTCCTAAGCGTATAGACGAGAAAGCAATCTTATCAAATGAGCAGTATTACGTCTAGAATAATCTTGCTAATTATCGATGATTTCTTCCGTTTTATTCTCTAGTCAATATGATATTTAGCGTATGTTGTCTTCCTCTCTCTTTCTCAGATTATACCCACGAAAAAAAATTAAAAAAAAAGGCCATTTGAACGTGTTCTTTTTTCAAACATGATTTCGCTAGAACATTTACGTATTTTATAAAACGTGCTTCAACGGTTTTTTCATCAATAAAAACGCAAGAAAGCAAATCAAGAATGCTTTCTGTAAATTCCATTTTTTCTCAGTCGTAACATCTTGTCTTTTTCGATAAACGCGTTTAAACCATTGAGAATATTTTACTATGAGACGATGAATAGATTCGAACTTTGAACATTTTAATTGGCTTACTTGATGGAACTGCACAATACTTACAGTTAACATTACAGTAATTACACGTCTATACTTAATGAATATAAGAAGAAATTTTGTATTTTATTCGGCACCGAAGTTTCGAAATAATGTCTTTCCCTTTTTCATATCAATGTTATTATATATCTAGAGCTAATTTGAATAGTTTCTGAGTGTAGCATTTTCTTTTCAATTTCTTTTTAATGTCAATTTACATTAAGTTGAGTATAAAAGCAATCTAAATTATGAGAAGTTACTTTGAAAAGAAATTCAAAATCATTCAAAATCACATAATTTTTAAAATTATTGTTTGGACCCAATCAATCTTATGAATGTAAATTACTCCCTCCCTAATATTTTTTGATAATAAATAATGATAGTTTTAATTTCTCTTGTTTTCAACTATATGAATATTTTGATTTTTAGTATAATCTAGGTATTTGGTGACCTTTTTATTTGATCCTTCACTAGGTAAAATACTGGCAAAAACTTCTAGATCGTATATCTATATAAATATTCAAGCTGTCACGAGAGAGAAGAAGAAAACTAAGCTATTATCTAAACAAAGTATAGTAAAATAAACAAATAAACAAATAGTGCATATTCATTATTTTTTAATATATTTTTGTTCGAAAAGCGAGTTTATACCAATTAAATTTTAGTTCTAAAGATTCAAAAAAGAAATGCGACGCCTGAAACACTAATATTGTTTTATTTAATACTTTGAAGTAATTTAGCAGAGTTACTTTCGTTAAAAAACACTGTTACAACGTATTTCCGAAATATACTGTTTTTTACGAAAAAGATACGTTATTAAAAGCAAGTTTAAACTCGCTCAAAATAATACGCTTAAGCGAGCTTTTTAGAATCTTTTTTTAAAACAAAAAACGATGATTTTTTCAGAACGCAGTTAAATGACTTTTATTAAAACGCGTTTTCAAATGAAAAAAACCTGTTGAAAAATTAATCAATACGAAAACGCCTTCTTTTCTTAAAATTTTGGGTTTAAACGTCAAAATAGCGTTGTTTTTTAAAAACCTTTCGTTGAAACGCATATGTTCTCGAATTATTTTTTCATGGGTAACGACGAAACAAATAATAAGCTTAAATAGATAAATAGGCAAAAGTTTGTCAATGTCGACTACGTCGCTCTACTATAATAAAATTATTCAAAAATACTGAAGTATTCTTCTTGAAACTTAATAAATAAGTATGACCTTGTTCTTCACATGGGATTCTTCTCTTGAACCAAAATATATAATAGAAAATATTGTTAATCGTAGTAATG